GAGACTTTAAAAATGATGAAACTATTGGAAATGAATTGGTATTGTAGACGTGAATACCTTTTTTTTCTAATTAAGGAAAATATGCATCATCTCCATTCGTGGATGAGTTTGGGTAGGATGAAATCTAACAAGTTTGCTCGGTCCGGTTCACTCGGTTGAGCGCCGGTCGCGCTCCTCGGTTTTGGGGCGTGACAATTGCACCACCTTCATGAATTTTGCACTAGCAAAGGTTCAAAAATCAGGAATTGTTCCTGAATTTCAAATTTTGCCCTAGTAAACGTTCGAAATTAATGAAGTACAATGTGAATTTAAAAATCATAAATCGTTTCTGAACTTTGCACTAGTAAAAGTTCAAAATCCAAGAATCGTTCTTGATTATGCATTAACAAAGGTTCAAAAATTATAAATCCTTCCTTGGTTTGAAAATTCAGCAAATCTTTAAATTCCGGCATAATTTACTAAGGTTCCACTTGTCAAAGCTTAGAACTTTAATGCCGATTGCTGGGAGTTGTGTTCCATGTTTTAATTGGGGCAAAAACATCAATTTAACAGGAGGACCAATTGTACTTTGCCATTACAATTTTAAAAATGACTAAACTTCAATAGCCAACCCAAAAAAGCAATCAACCCATCAAATTTTGGGAAAATGACACTGTATAATCGCTCTTAAAAAAATAGCCGAAGAAATATATATATATATACAAAAATTATACAAATTTTATACACTTTTTCGGTTACCAAATATAAATAGTTTCTTCTGATATCGCTGCTAATGGGCTATGTAAAAAGACACAAGCGTTACAGCCCAAACCAAGCCGGGGATACCGTTCACATGACAGGTAGTTGCCTATTTCTACTAGCTTCTAGGAAGCAGGTCAGAAGTAGCCCAAAATTGATGTGCTACATCCAAACGCAAGGGGACTAGAAATTGAGTATGAAAGCTATTATAGATATACTATCATTAGCTCTACACATTAATCACTTGTTCTAATCATTTAACTTCACTACTATCATTAATACAGTAACGGAGTCCTATCCCAAATACTATCGTATCATAAGGATAATACTACAAAACTTCATCTCTCTTCAAATTGAAAAGCTAAATATTTCATTTTCTTGATAAATCCCTATCCATTTCCTCCCAGCTGATTCTCGATTTTGTTGCATTTCCTCCGTCAAATTTCAAAATATTTGTATCCGTCACCAGAATTGATCATTCCCTCTTCCCAATCACCCATCCGACGACCACCAAAAACCACTTGTTGAATGCCCAAATATCTGGATATTGAATTACAGATGTTAGCATCGATGATGTCAACCTCTCATAAATTTGATAGTGAAATGCTTACTCTGAGCTCAATACAGTCAAGTAATTGAGAAGTACGTCAATTGAGAAGAAATCAGTTGTACCAAGATCCACCCTATTATACACATGACCAAGTTGAAATAAGCAAGTTTTTCCACACTAAAGAAAAGAAGCATTATAAGGAATCTTTAACGAAATATTTGTAAATTTAAATGAAAAAGGTGCAAAGAAAGGCATACCAAACTCTGCACCAATTGTCCTGGAATTCAACATTACTTATGTCATGGAACGATGAAGGCATCACCTTGGAGCCTTTGTCTGCATCATAAAGAGGATCAAACTCCAACGATGAACCCCCCAGCTGCATTCATGTAACACAAATATGAACCTTACCCAATCATGTTAAGGGAGATTTCAATTCTTTGCAATCAGAAAAAGGGGCTGAATGAACTAAAATGATCAATCACAGAATAGAACTAATAACTTCATACAGTTACAACCTGACCTAATACCATCTTGTTTTAAGGTATTAAAAACTTAAAGGACGATGATTGTAACTACTCCACTTAATGATTGGTTACTTGCTAAAGAAGCAGAACACTAAACAACGGCAGGACAAAGAAATAATAGGTGTTCACCTGCAAATTAGATGAGTTAAATGCGCCTAATCGGCCGATGACATACCATGCCTGGATAACCTGCCATTAGGAGCAAAAGATTTTCCTCAAGTTATCAAACCCAATAGGCTAAAAGTAAGTCATGTGATGTGAGAACAGAGAAGAAAACAACATACACTACCGAGAAGGTTAACGTCTCGATCAGATGGTGAGCCATATAATTCGAACCATATGTACGAATCAAGAGGATTAAAACTGTCAATTCAAGTTAGATGCAGTGAGTGATATATCTTAACATTATAGCAAAGAATAAAAAAGAATATTGCAATAATAGGCAACATTTTCAGTTTAATGATTATATTGTTAACTTAGTGTCATAGCCCAAGCTCATGGCCCAACAGACCTCACGAACAGCACCGAACCAAGGATTTGATGGGGATGGGTGCACCACTACATCTAATAGACCTGATGCTAGCCATAGAATATGCATAAGGGTGTGACTGGTTCAATGGGTTTTTGGAGAAAGGATATTCAAAATAAACCCATCAAAAAGGTAAAGAAAAGGGACACCCTTAGTCGAGAAGACGAAAATTTCCCCAAGAGAGTAGTTGCTCAAAAAGCAAACTATCCAATACTTGAAACTATTTATCCATAATAATTATTATTTCCACACAGTATATTTCATTCACCAATCAGGCACTAGAAACATTTTCTGACGAAAATATTTTCCTTCATACCAAAAACATATACGTTCTGCATGTTACCATTCAACAAAGACACTCAACTAAAACTGCTGGACAATTTATTGTATAAGGGCCTATAAATATCTGCAAAGCATTTGCAGCTTCGTGACAGCTGATGTTAAGAAATATAAAGCATGAATAACAAACCAAAAGGCCATGTATTTGAATTATAATAATTCAAGTTAACTCCAGTGCATTTCCTGATGTATATCTTATTTTTAGTTTTAGGACCTGTGTTGCTACAATCAGACACGCAATAGGCCCAAATAGAAATTTTAATGAACTATTAACAATTTTGACAAGAACCCTATATTGTCAAACAAAATAACCTTAGTCTGACACTTTAAGAAGTGAACTCCAGAAGAAGAACAAGGACATGGACTAATTCTTCTTCTCCGCTTTTATATTTAACAGAATGAACTGCACTACACCAGGGAATATTAAGAAGACCGAAGAGTCAGAATTTAATTACTCTCTAAAGCTGACTTTGAATGCAAGCACAGATCCTGTTTTAGACTTGTAAAAATTTTGGCCCTTGGTTCGAACTGTCTTCGACCTATCAAAATGGAGAAAAGGAATTGAAAGCTATAATTCTAGATTTAATCAATAAAAAGTGGAGTATATAGAAATGGATAAAATAGCACCTACCCTTTTCCTCATAAGCTCTGGATTGCCAATACTATCACCAAGCACAGCACGAAGCTCTGTGTCATGCTTACAAGCATCTTCTAACACTCTGACAAAAAAAATGTTTCAAGCACCGACGGGGAATCCATGAAACATAGAATAAAATCAAGGGAGAAAGAAAAAGACTTGGCCCAAGCAGGGTAGTTGTGGAGACGTTCATATTCACGTTTCATCTTCTCCTCCCTGACCTTCAACAACCTCCGCCCTCTGGCGGTGGTTCCCAACCCTTTGGCACTGCTACTACTAGTAGCATCTGCACTTAAATCTCCCGAATTGAAAAATGAAGCTGCAGCAGCAGTAATGGTCAAACATTCAAGCGAAGGACGTGAAGAGACACTCGCCACATGAGGAGGATTAAAGTGGAGGAATTGTTGATGTGTAAAAGACATTGGCATCGGCATAAAAGCGAGAAGTTCGCTGGTCCTCACTTTCCCTTTTTCCCCAAAAGAAAAAAGAAAAATACATATACATTGAACTCAATTAAATAAAAAGAATCGGGATTGAAGTACTGATTAAACGCGAGAATATTGAGAACCTACCAGCTACCAGTGGGATGAGCTCGACAGACCTGCCTCAACTCTAATGCGAAGGAGGGTTTCCACCGGAGATGCTGCTTGTTGGATGGGAACTCAGTTCAAACGGACTTCTATATGTTTTATTTAACCCCTAATATCTTTCTCAAATATGCGTTTGGCTGTTAAGTTGAAAGTTAAATTACAAACTTACCCTTGTTTAATTAATTTTCTTTTTATTTTTAAAAACCTACATATACACGCTTGTCTGACTCCTTCAAATTCTCAAGCGTTGCACTGTTTAAATTTCTTTCCCATGATAATGTTCCCTCACTCTTCACTCTGCCACGGAGATCAAAATAACAACGCTTATTTGAAGGGATATACCCTTCACATAACTTAATAATGTTCCGAATTGGCTTCCTTTTCTAAATTTCGAGACCAAGGGAAGCACGAAATCAAAACCAAACGACTCTTCTGCAAACTACCAAATATAGGCAAGAACGATGTTCAGACCTCCATATCCATGCAGGTGTACATGTGCTAATTCTAGCAATTTATGTGTTTCTTTACTCTTTGTGAAGGAAATACGACTAAGTAAAGCAAAGCTCTCAAATCGATTTTTAGTCGGTCTCTCCATTTAATTGTTCATTTTAATATTTTTAATTGTAAAGTAGTGAATTTAATATTTAAAGCGCAAGATAAACATAAAAGTGAAGTAGTGAATTTAATAATAAAAAACCATGAATATCTACTAGAATTTCTCAAAAACTCGGTGCCACAAGTGCACGAGCAAACTAGTAGAATATACAAAATCTCCTATACTATTGTCTAGAGTAAGATAGACAGAAAAATAAATACAACAAGAGACTCCAGGTGCTGCAGAACGGAGCATAGGGTGCGGGGGTACGCGCCTGACTAGCCACGAGATGCACATGCATAAGATCATGCACAATTAGTGCAGAAGTGTAGCGTGAGTACATAAATAACATGTACCGAGTAAGTATCTAGTCTAACCTCGAAGAATTAATGACAAGGGGTCAATATCGATACTTACTAAGGGTCAATAAATAAAGTTTAGAAATCATAAGTAGGCATGAAATACAGCAATAATAGTGAGATAAGAAACAATAATTTATCATTCTTAAACATAATATCAATTTAATGTCTCAAACTATCGCATGCCAAGTATTTAACACATAAGAACCACCAAGTAATTTTCTAGTCTCAGACCAAGAAGAAATATCAAGTATAATCGGATTCCGAGCAATATCACGCACGATTTATGCCGAGGTCGTATGGCCCGATCCAGAATAGTATGTACACTGTCGAGGGTCGACCGGCGCGAACCATAGATGCATATAATATACTACCGAGGCGTTCGATCTGATCCATAAGAATAAAGGAAACTCTACAAACTTTGATCAACGACTACTACAAAGGATTAATACTCAAAGAAGGCATAATTTCCACTAACAATCAAATATTCCGCCAAAACTCAAAGTAATAAAGCTCAGTCCTTTAAAATCCTTTATCAAATTTCAATTATAAATTTAGGTAATTAAACTAATAAATTGGGTGCAAATAATACAAGTAATATATGGTAGAGTCCAAAATGTGTCCGGGCATAAGCATAATTTTAGCTACATATGGACTCTCGTCACATCGTGCGCACGTAGAACCCACAATTATTAGCAATTAACCATTTAAAATACCTACGGGGATAATTTCCTCTTACAAGGTTAGGCAAGAGACTTACCTCGTTTCCAAGTCCTCTTTCCGGTCCACAATTCACACTAATAGCCTAAAATCGATGTCGAGCAATCCGAAACTAGCCAAAGGTTTTATAAACTAATCAATATGTGCTCAAAAGTTTATAATTTAACTATTAGAGTAATTACCTAACCCAAATTGGAAGATTCCTAAAATTCTCCCCCGGGGCCCACATGCCCGGATTTCGAAAATTTTCTTAAATAAATATTACCCATATAACCTCACGAACACAAATATATAATTTTTACCCAATTCCATAATCATTTTCATGGTCTAATCCCATTTTTATCAAAATCTAGGTTTTTCAATAAAATCCTATAACTTCCACAATATACTTGTTAAAATCTACCCATAATTCGTGTATTAAACTCACATTACGTAGTAATTACTTACCTTACAATGCTAGGTGAAAACTCCCTCTCCAAGAGCTCCTAAATCGGCTAACCCAAAGTGAAATGAGAGAAAATGAGCGTAAGTCCCGATTTAAAATAAGGTTCTGCCCAGTTGACCCTTCTTCGCGATCGTGAAAAGGGCCTCGCGACCGCGAAGGCAAAGCTTGCCCAGGCCATGAAAATCTTCATCGCGAATGCAAGGGTAGTCTTGTGATTGCGAAGGCTTTCCCGCCTGAGCATTGCCAACACGATGATACCTTCGCGAACGCGAAGGGATTAGGGTGCTGACCCCTCCCAGGCCCCTTTCCTATATGCGAACGTGGGCGCACTGAGGCGAACGCGAAGGCCACGGGTCCCAAACCTTCGCGAACGCGACCTGTGGATTGCGAATGCGAAGAGAAAAATGCCCAGTCCCCCAATTCTTTCTCCGCGAACGCGACTCCACCTCCGCGTTCGCGAAGAAGGAAACCAGAACCAACAACAGTAGAATTTCAAATTTATCTCCGGGTGGCCTGAAATTCACCCGAGCCATCCGAGACCCCGTCTAACTGCACCAACAAGTGCAGAAACATAATACAAACCTGCTCGAACCCTCAGAACACGTAAAACAATATCGAAACTAAGAATCGCACCCCAAAACTAAATTAGATCAACTTATGAACTTCAAACTTTTCAACTAGCTTCGAAAGCGTCAAATCTTACTTAGACAACTCGGAATGACACCAAATTTTGCGTACAAGTCATAATTCACCGTACGTACCTATTCCCAGGTTCGGAATTCCAAATGGACCTTGATAACACCAAAGTCTACTTCAAACAAAATTCAAAGAACTAGAAAACCTTCAATGCGCTAACTTTCAATATTAGGCGCCGAAACGCTCCCGGATCACCCGAAACTCGATCTGAATGTACGCCCAAGTTCAAAATCATCATACGAACCTATTGGAACCATCAAATCCCGGTTCCTAGGTTGTTTACTCAAAATGTTGACTCGAGTCAAACTTGGCCATCTTATGCCATTATTAAGGAACTAAATGTTCTGATATCAACCCGAACCCTTCCAAACCCAAACCAACCATCCCTACAAGTCATAAAATAGTAAAAGCACATACAAGGAGTCTTAATTAGGGGAACGAGGATCTAGAAAGCAAAACAATCGATCGGGTTGTTATATTCTCCACCTCTTAAACAAACGTTCGTCCTCGAACGAGTCTAAAATTATACTTGGAGTGCTGAATAAGTGTAGATATCTGCTCAGCATGTACTCTTCGGTCTCCCAAGTCACTTCCTCGACTAGTTGACCCCTCCACTGAACCTTTACCGCAGAAATCTTCTTAGACCTCAATTGGCGAACCTGCCTATCAACAATGGCAATTGGCTGTTCCTCATAACCCAAGCTCTCATCTAACTGAACCGTGTTGTAATTAACACATGCGACATATCGGCATGGTACTTCCGGAGCATAGACACATGGAAAACTAGATGAACTCCTGATAGACTGGGAGGCAAAGCAATCTCATAAGCAACCTCCCCAACTCGCCTCAACACCTCAAATGGGCCAATAAACCTGGGGCTCAGCTTTCCCTTATTCCCGAACCTCATGATACCCTTCATCGACGAGACTTTCAACAGAACCTTCTCGCCCACCATAAATAATAAATCACGCGCCTTCTAATCCGCGTAACTTTTATGTCTGGACTGTGTTGTGCGAAGTCGCTCCTGAATCAACTTACCTTCTCCAAGGCATCCTTCACTAAATCAGTTCCATATAACCTAGCCTCGTCGGGCTCAAACCATCCGATGGGCGAACAATATCGTCGACCATAAAAAGCCTCAAATGGATCCATCTCGATGTTGGACTGATAACTGTTGTTATACGCATACTCAGCCAAGGGCAAGAACCGATCCCACTACCCTTCGAAGTCAATCACACACGCTCTGAGTATTTTCTCCAGGATCTGAACTGTTTGCTTCGATTGCCCGTTGGTCTGCGGATGAAAGGTTGTGCTGAGCTCTACCCAGTTACCCAACTCGCTCTGTACTGCTCTCCAAAAATACGAAGTGAACTGATGGCCTCTATCTGAAATGATGGTAACAAGCACACCATGCAACCGAACAATCCCCTGAATGTAAATCTGGGCCATTCTCTCTGAAATGTAAGTAGTTGCAACCAGAATAAAGTGTGCCAACTTGGTCAGCCTGTCAACAAAGACCCAAACGGCATCAAACTTCCTCAACGTCCGCGTCATCCCAACTACGAAGTCCATAGTGATGCGCTCCCATTTCCACTCCGGTATAACCATCTGCTGAAGTAGGCCACCTGGCCTCTGGTGCTCATACTTAACTTGCTGGCAATTTAGGCATCTCGCGACATATTCAATTATGTACTTCTTCATCCGCCGCCACCAGTAATGTTGCCTCAGGTTGCAATACATCTTCATAGCACCTGGATGAATAGAATACTGAGAACTATGTGCCTCATCTAAAATCATCTCCCTCAAGCCATCAACAATAGGAACACATAGGCGACCATGGAGTCGCAGAACACCATCCTCACCGATAGTAACCTCCTTGGCACCACCCAGTAGTACCATCTCTCTAAGAACCAGCAAGTACGGATCATCGTACTGACGAGCCTTGATCCGCTCAAATAATGAAGACTAGGCCACAACACATGCAAGAAATCGACTGGGCTTTATAATATCCAACCTCACAAGTATGTAGCCAATGGCCTCTCCTCTATTGAAATGAATGGCAAACTACCCATACTCTTGGCCTTTCTGCTCAAGGCATCCGCAACCACATTCGCCTTGCCTGAATGATAAAGGATGGTAATATCATAGTCCTTCAGTAACTCAAGCCACCTGCGCTGCCTCAAATTAAGATCCCTCTGCTTAAACAAATTCTACAAGCTACGATGATCGATGTAAACCTCACAGGACACTCCATAAAGATAATGCCTCCAGATCTGGAGAGCATGAACTATCGCGACCAACTCCAAATCATATACGGGGTAATTCTTCTCATGGGGTTTCAACTAACGTGAAACATATGCAATAACTCGCCCCTCCAACATCAATACACAACCCAGGTCAATGCGTGAAGCGTCGCAATACACTGTATACATCCCTGAATTGGAGGGCAACACTAACACTAGTGTTGTAGTCAATGCAGTCTTGAGCTTCTAAAAGCTCACCTTGCAATCATTGGACCATCTGAATGGAACACCCTTCTGTGTCAATCTAGTTAAAGGTGCTGCAATAGACGAGAAGCCCTCCACAAACCGACGATAATAACCTGCTAACCCCAAGAAGCTCCTGATCTCGATCGTTGTGGCAGGACGAGGCCAACTCTGGACTGCCTCGATCTTCCTGGGATCTATCTTAATACCCTCACCTGATACAATATGCCAGAAGAATGCCACAGAATTCAACTAGAACTCGCACTTAGAGAACTTAGTATATAGCTTCTGTTCCTGCAAGGTCTGAAGCACAACTCTCAAATGTCGCTCGTGCTCCTCCATACTACACGAGTACATCAATATGTCATCAATGAAGACAATGACAAATGAGTCAAGAATATGGCCTGAACACCCGGTTCATCAAATCCATAAACGCCGCTAGGGTGTTGGTCAAGTCAAATGACAGCACTAGAAACTCATAATGCCCATATCTAGTCCGAAAAGCCGTCTTCGGAACATCTGAAGCATGAATCTTCAACTGATGATACCCATACCGCAAGTCGATCTTAGAGAACACTCTGGCACCCTGTAACTGGTCAAAGAAGTCGTCAATACACGGCAATGGGTACTTGTACTTAATGGTAACTTTGTTCAACTGGTGGTAATCAATGCACATCCGTATACTCCTATCCTTCTTTTTCGCAAATAATACCGGTGCACCCCAATGAGACACACTCGGCCTGACAAACCCCTTCGCTGGCAAATCCTCAAGATGTTACTTCAACTCTTTCGGAGTCATGCGGTATAGTGGAATAAAGATAGGTTGGGTACCTGGAGCCAAATCAATACTGAAATTGATATTGCGATCTAGTGGCATGCTTGGTAGATTAGAAGGAAACACATCAGAGAACTCCCGCACCACGAGCATTGAATCAATCGTGGGAGTCTCTGTAGCTGTATCCCTAACATAATCCAGATAAGCCAAAAAACCCCTCTCGACCATATGTCGAGCCTTCAAGAAAGAGATAACCCAGCTAGATATACTGATAGATGAACCCCTCCACTCCAATCTAGGCAACTCTGCATCGCCAAGGTAAATCAAGAACGACATGGTACAGAGACAATCAGTCCATGCCTAGGATGACCTCAAAGTTGGTCATGTCGAGCAACAGATGATCCGTTATGGGCTCATAACCACAGAAAGTCATAATACAGGACTAACACATATACAAGAGCGCCCAAGGACTCACGAGAGACACCTAGATAATGAGCAAATAGAGATGAAACATATGAATACGTAGACCCTGGATCAAATAGTACCGAAGCATCCCTACCGCAGACAAAAATAATACATGTGATCACGTCGTCTAAGGCTACTGCATCTGGTACAGCGGGAAAAGCATAGAACCTAGCTGGAGCACCACCTGACTGGCCTTTACCTCTAGTACGACCCCTACCCACCTGCCCTCCGTCTCGAGTCAGCCAGATGGTTGGTGCGGCAGCTGGTGCAGTAATTATGGGCTGATGGTCATGCTGTACTTCCTTGCCCCGAAATCTGGGGCAAAATCTCCTCACATGACCAAGCTCCCTACACTCATAGCAACCTCTCGGTGCGGAAGATGACTGACCCTGAATCTGACCCTGGGGATCTGAACACCCACTGGAAGAACCCTGAATATCCGGTGGATGGTAGGGGCTCTCTGGAATGGCGCTGAAATAGGGCCATGCTGGAGCACCCCGAGAAGGCGGTGGTGCTGAATACGTGGGCTTGCTAGACTGGCCCCTCACAAACTGACCTCTGCCGCAGACGAAGCACCACTGAACCCTCTAGAATATCGAGGCTGTTTGTCCCTTGCGCATGCTCTTGGCCTTGCTGATGGATACCCTCAATCCTCCAAGCTATCTGCACAACCTGCTCGTAAGGAGTCCCCATCTCAATCTCTCGGGCCATAGCAACCTGGATATCATAGTGCAAGCCCGCAATAAACCTCTACACTCTCTCTGCATCAGTGGGGAGTATCATAAGTGCATGGCGGGACAACTGATCATGCCCAACTATGCCTTGTAAAAAGGACTAAGCGGTCGCTGCAAATATAACCCGGTTCAAGTCCGGAGTCGAATCCTACAGGGAACTAACCTATTTACTACAACTTTAAATAATGCTAATGATAAGCTCAGACAACTTCCGGATGCAAGAGTTTTATGAATAATCAGTAGAATTTATTTAGCTAAAGAAAAATGACAATAAAATTAGCAATAATCAAGAATAAAATTGAATTCAAGGGTAAAAGTATCTAGGGTTATTGATTTTCCCAATTGCCGAATTAATTCTTAACTCTTTAGCTATAATCTCGCCGTAATACTCTATGAGGATTATGAGTTCCAGGCTACCGTAATTACCTCTCGATCAATTACGATAATTTACTAGAAGCATTCTCTTGAACTACACTAGTTAATAATTTATGCAACTCAGAATTATCCCACCAAAGCTTCGTTATTTCTAACCTCACTTTTAAATTCAAGTAATTAATATCTTAACTTACCCAAAAGTGGTGTTGTTCAACAACAATCTAACCAAGTGTTCTTTCTCAAGAAACACAAGGTAACTAGACACGATTAATCAAGGGCCCTTCCAATTAACCACTATACAATACGTAGTTGAACAATCATAGAACAAACACGGCTCAATTATAACAAAATAGAGCCAAGACTTCATCCAACAATTGGTTCCATCAACCCTAGATAATAAATTTAGCTACTCATACTAATGGAAAACAAATCACTAAAATAATTCATAATCAACAAATAGAAGTATGAAGAAGAAGATGAAAACTCTTAGGAAATTATCCGTCTTCTCTCCCTTGTTCTTGCCTCTAAAATCTTCTAAAACCAGTTATCTCCAACTTCTGGGCGAGTTTAGGCTTCATATAGGTTTAGGTTAGTCGCCTAGAAAATTACATAATTAACCCTGTGTGTTTGGCTTTCGTCCACTCATCCGCAGCTACGGCCGCGGATTCAACCGCGGATCCTGCCGCGGATTTCAACTGCCTCACTGCCTTGAGTTCGCGGACCAATTCGTGGCCCACTTCGCGACCGTGCACCTGGAGGGGTCATCTCGCTTGCTTTTCTCGCTCCTTTTCGACCGGGCTAACCTTCGATTGGCCTTTCACACTCCATGTTGACTCCAAAACACTCGTTAGCTCCCTCCTAGCTCGGAGTAGCTCCTGCAAAGCATCAAATTCTTAATTAGGGCATTTTGTTATCTTTTAGCATTCAAATATCAATAAAGTGCGGCTAAATTAGAGTGTAACTATTGTCTAAATTGCATAAATATAGCCTACTATCAACATCCCACACTTAAAAGATTGCTCGTCCCCGAGCAATCAAACCACACTCTAAGAGGCCTAACTTCACTGAGCGACTTCCCTACTCGTCACACCAAGAATATTTCACATAAATTGAGGACATTAGTGCAACATCTACACCTCAAGAGTTGACTCCCTCTAGCCACGCAATGTTCCTAACCGGCTTACTTACTCTAATTCATAGGTCCAGACTTATCTCTCCTTCATGAATCAAGTGCATGCTCACAACAAAAGAGACTCATTTCACAATCAGTAAAATTCACATACACTGAGGAACTTTAAAAGGAACAGAATTCACTCACCCTCAAAAATGACATTCTTGTGCCACCGAAAACGTACCATAGGCTTGCCCGTAGTGTACGACTCTACTAATTGAGCTCACTCAGTCTAGGATCAAGTAGGACTTTATTTGGATGTAATGTAGGCTGCAGGTTGGGTAGGATATATTTGGATATAATAGTGACTACACCTCCCTAAGCACTTTAATACATTTATTTTACATTCAAGTCCACATCTAAATTAAACCAATATTTTTATCTTTAACACCACATATACCACCCCACACTTCTTCTTTGAGCACAATCACCTTAAAAGCCACCAAAGAATTATTACCAATCAACATGATACACTATTAACAATGTTCTTCTTTTTTTTTCTTTTTCTTTTTTTCACAAGTGGCTTTTTCAACAAGATATACCTTTCCCCTTATTTTCCTAGTTCCACTCAAAAGCTCCACCAACTACCCCACACTTTATCCTTTGTAAATTCATAGTATTTCAAGTGCTTATGAGAGGTAAATGGTTCAAAAAGATGGTCAATTCAAAATAAGGGATAGGGCTTGTAATGTGGTTGCCAAGAAAACAGGATTATAGGCTCAACGGGGTTAACTATGGTACATAGAAAATAGGTGGGTGGAGTATGTATATATATATGGTTCAACAAAGAAATGCCTATATCACCTCCCAGACAAAACAAGACTACCATTTCGCTTTGCAGACACACAGGGCAAGTTCTAGGCGTTAAATGTCGTGCACAGAATATAACAAGCCTCACACACACATGGCACATGACTCATTCCAGATTAGATCATCAAACACTCAGATTAAGGTACTTAAGCCAAATTAAGAACATACATTTTAAGTCCTTCTTACAAGAGTCAACAAATGAGCCTAAGCGTCACACTAAAGTAACCGCTATATTCAAGGCATTACGAAATTAAGGGATCCTATTCTAATTCTGCCCATAGCCTATAAGTTCCTAAATAAAAAGCTAACTACACCCGGTTCAAATAAAACCCTTGGAAAAGAACCGTGGTTTAAAGAAAAACCAAGGGGGAATTGATACACTACTACAAAAGAAATTCTTTTTTTTAGTTTTTTTTTTCTTTTTTTTTTCCTTTCGACTTTAGTCCCTCAAGAAACCCGTTGAATGATATCCATCGTCGGCCAAGTCGAAATTGATTTATACAAATAAACTACGAAACTATCTACATATAATATACAATAAAGTATCCCCCACCCCACACTTAAAAAGATGGCATGTCCCCATGTCATACAAAGTAAAGTAATGCGAGGTAAAGGAACTTCCCTGGTGGATCAGTCTTGATCGAAGACAGTGCCAGGGTCGAGATGACATGCTCTCCCCAGCGCACGCAGCCAGCCCATGATTTTTTTTTCTGACTTCGCATTTTGGGTGGCCAAAGTATCAACTCTAGCCCCCAACTCTGTGACGGAAGTGCGCAGTCCTGCCATGTCTAGTTCTAAGGCTGTCATCCGTGTACTCCGTCTGACCTGGGATGGTCCTTCAGCCGCTGCAGCTTGTTCCTGTGGGGGTGAGGCAGGTTCAACCTCCTCCTGCCCTTCATCGCCCTCTTCCGACTCATTAGAATCGTCACTATGAGTTGCCTCTGGTGCCACCGGGTCTTTCCCGATGGTCACTTTGTCTACCCGGAACTTTGCTTCTTTCTTTACCATGCCATCCGAATTTGGGTTCTCAGGCACCCTTGTAGCCCGGCACAATCTAGTGATCAGAGAGGGGAAAAAGAACCCATACCTCTTCTGTGTTGAATAGACGAACATATCAGACTAAATAACCTTGGCCACATCAAAGTCGTAGCCATTCACGAAGCACCAGATCAAGGCAGCTCTCGGACCATTTACCTTCGTGGTGTTATGGGACGGCAGCAAGTGACTGTTAATGATGTACAACTAGCACTTTCCTTCAAAAGTGAGTGAGGCAGAATGTAGCTTCGATCCCGGCACAACCCACACTACCTCTTTGTCTTATGCACAGATAGTTCTGAAAAACTTATTCCACGTGATGGGTTCTCTCCTGTAAGTATCATAGAAATCCTCCACCCCATTGAATTCAGGCAATGGATACACTCTCCTGATGGCTTCTATAGAGGCATCCACCCTCGTATGTCGCACAGTGCATATTCTATCCTCATGTTCGGGGCAGTTGGCATAGAACTCCCGAACAAGCATCAAGTTACCCTCCTCCGGCTCTTCGAAAAAGTTGTCCAATCTGCGCCTTATCAACTCCCAATACATATTAGGGCACTCATCCTGGTATGATCAAACTGAGCTGCACTGGCTGGTGCCCGTCCCTGAGATGAGCCTCCATGACCACTTGATGAGGCCCCGGTAGCGCGTCTCTTCCTTGAAGGTTGCATGTTACATACACAATAAATACTACTATCAGTGGAGAGCGGAATATGTGACCTAATGGCGGTTACTCAGACTTC